AAACAGTGGGGGACGCACCAAGCCAGGTTCGTCTATGGCAAACACCAAGCGATTTATGATAAGCGGCAGAATTACCGCTCAGCGGCCGTCGAAAGGCGCCCAACCCTGGATGCTTTCAGTTCAACTCGAGCTCTACACTGACTTTACACCCTGAACCCAGTCCCAAAGCCCTAAACACAACACCCTCGACCCTGAATGCCTTCAATCCTAATCAGAGATCCCATGAGCCAATCCTTCAACCCTGCACGCCCAGGCCAAGACGCAAACACAAACCATAGGCTTTTTTTGATCCCCAATCTCTGAGACCCTAAAAATGACCCCTTTACCCCGAACGGTTTGGTGGGTCACCACAGCATCAGTCGTACTCCGGAAGGCTATTCATACGTACCGCTTAGAACGTTGCTTCTGTTTGTTTCCTCCTCATTTTTGGACCCTAGCCGGCTATGCAAAAATATTACTAGAATCCCGAGGCAAGCCCATGTAGAACCATTTAATCACATGCCCGCACCCCATGCCGTGTGTCCACTGCATGTCGCCCATCGGGAAGACAAAGTGAGATGACCCGAGAAAACCGATAATTCCAAAGGAGCCCTAAACCCTAAATCCTGAACCCACAACCCTGAATCCTAAATGTTATCCTGAACCTGACCCTTACACCTGAATATGCTAAACCACAGGCCCTGGCCTGCTTGGTGCCCGACCTGCGGGCTGCTTTGGCAGCTTTACAAAGGCTTCGGCCACACAAGTTCCTATAAAGTAGAAGCCAGAAAGTTGGAAAAGATTGTCTTCACGTCCTTAACGCAAAAAGGGATCCCAGCACTAATCATCCTCATGCAAACCATGTTCCAACTTTCTGGAGATCACAATAAGGCTTGCTATCGAGGTGCCCGTAATGGTTCCTACAGGGAGTGGTAGGATTTAGGGTTGGGGGCTTTGGGGCTAGTGTTTCCCAGTTGAACAGAGGATCGGGGCGAAGAAGCAGAAGTCTTCCGAGCGCGCCGCAGTGAACTGGCTCAGGGTCTATGATGGTAGGTTCTGGGACATACATACATACATACAAACTATTCTTATTAATTGTTGTCATGATTATTGTTCATACTCTTGTTATGTTTACTGTGCAGACTGTTATTACTGCTATCATGAGTCTTATTTATTGTTCTTACAAGCATTATTACTGTTATTTCTACCACTACTATTCCTAAAACCGGACCGCGCCTTTGGTACCGTGGTGACACATCCGACTGCAGCAGGGAGGCGAGCTTCTTTGGCCTGGGCCAAGGTGTGCCCCAAAGTGGCAAGATTTTGGTTCCATAATTAGGGCTTAATGTTTAGTTTTGGGCTTTGGGTTCCTTGGTTCCATGATTAGGGCTTTATGTTTAGTTTTGAGCTTTGGGTTCCTGGTTTAGTTTGGTAGTCGGGCGGCTTTAGTTTAGTTTCAGGGTTTCAGGGCTTGGGGTGCCACTCAGAATAACAAGTCTGCAGCCTGGGTGGGTTGAAGGACATACGCCGGAGTCTCCTTACTTGCCACATCTCACACACTGTTGGACGGGCAAGACATCGTGCACCTCGGGGGAGAAGGGTTTCGACGTCCGGCATTGAGACGATAGAGTTCCAACGTTTCTCAGCACCCGATAGCCCTCAAGACCCAAAAGCCATTGAGCAGCGACAAGCGATGCATAAAACCACCTGGAAGGGCACCCTAAGCCCTGCAAGCCCGAACTGTAGCTCAGTGGCTACGACGCCAGCATGTGTCTCCCAAAGTCTGGTCTTGTTCGGGTCACCATCTGCATGTATGTCATAGATAAAACTTAAACCTTAAACCCAAAGCAAAAACGTGTCACAACCTAAAACTCAAATTCGAAAACACCAAAGCCCCACACGAACTGAAGCCTCAAAGCTTTTCTGCTCTTGCGGTCTCGAATATAGGTCCTGGGATTTAGGATGTATAGGGGTGAGTGTGGTTTGTAAAGCGGTAGAAGGGCCTCAGAGTTGGCATTTCCGAACTCAAAGGGTCCCGACACCTTGAAGGGTGGAGTGGTTCAATACTAGGGAGTTTCCGAAAATAGGGGACCCTAATATAGCACCCTAAATAGTAGGATCCTTATTATAAGGACCCCAAAATAAGGTACACCTATTTTTCGGAAACCCCCATGAAGGCTCGGTGGGTTAGGGCTTAAAGGGTTGCACATCAGAAGATGTTCTGCTCAGCATCTCGGTGCTCAGCTCGATCTGGGAGTTTCCGAAAATAAGGGCTACCTTTTTGGGGTCCTTATAATAAGGATCCTACTATTTAGGGTACTATATTAGGGTCCCCTATTTTCGGAAACCCCCATGTAGGAACATCAGGCAAGCGCCCAGTGACAACATGCACATGTCGTCAAAGGATTTACCTTTTGAGCTTCTGTGCCCACATCCGTAACATGTATGTCCACTTTGCAAGTGACACGGTCATACATGTCTATGCAACGCTGACTCGATGAGTCTTACCATCGTAGCTCCTCTTGGCAGAGTAACCTTTACAAATGATGGTGATGCATGCCTGGTTGTCTGCTTGACAGCGCAGGGCTACCCCTGGAATTGAAGTTTGCCAAACTTCCATAGGCTTCCAACATGGAAGCTGCATCACTTCTGAGGGGCTTGCCCGCCCGTACGTAAAAAAGGAATACAGCTCCATGCATTTGATCCGTGTATCGCTCTAGGTAGATTCCTGAACTCAGAGGTTTTGGAGTCTCTGGGTGAAGTTTAGGGCTTGGGGCTTTCAGTGTTGACCTTCATGGCTTCTGTGCAGGGGCTTCGGCATTACTCCGACATAGGGGTCTGAATTCTCAGCAATGCTTGCCCCGGGAGTTCTTTAACAGCACCGAGACTTCTATGCTAGATATTGAAGATCTCCTAAACCCTACACCCTGAACCTATTATCTAATCTAATGGCAAGCATGAGCCCAAAGCCCTGAAGGTCATCTGGAATTGATTTATTGGGTACGCGGCTGCGCCGCTCCCTGGTTCGTCTTGGCAAGGCCTCAACAAAGCCACGGCTTAGGGTTAGGACCGGTTAGGAGTTTAGGGTTTAGGTGTTTAGTGTTTAGGCGGTTTAGGGTAAGACGGTATCCTCAAACAAAATACCTGAAAGTGCTCAGGTTTCAACACAAGTCTGAACCAGAACCCCTCAAATCAAAAACTCCAGGCAAGCTTCAAGCCCGACACGCTGAAGCCAAAAAGCCTTAGACAGTCGAAACTCTGCATACTGAAGCACACCCTGAACCCTGAAGCCTAGGCCCGAAGAACTACACTTTGAAAGCCAGAAGTACAAATAGTAGATCACAATATGACAACAACGAAATTGTATAATGAGATCATATAATACAACATAGTACAATACAATACAATATGATATACTGAAAATAGAATGTGTACATTGTCTCCTGCCTGTGACGCTGAACACCGCTCCTTCGCGAACTGTCTTCATTACCAAAGCATTTTGTAACCCCTATATCCCCCAAAACACCCTAACACAATTCCAAGAAAACCCCAACAAACCGAGCCCCCGACCAGGCTGGTTGGTCGGGGCGCCAGGGCCAAGGTCACCGGCTTTCAGCTGCAGGCCTCGTGGAGCGGTGGGGCGATCGTGGGGATCGTGGCTTTGGTTCTGCGCGGGAAGGCCAGACAGATGATTCCTTTGGGGCACCGGAGCTGGAATGGGTTTCAGCGGTCTGTATGGCGCTGCTGCCATGAGAGCTGCATGACTGAAGCCCGTGGAAGGATCTGATTGATTCAGCCTCCGTCTGCCACCAGGAGGAAAGGGATCAGCGAGGAGATCGTTGGCCTTTCGGAAAGGAGCGGGTGCTGCATCGACATGTTCGTACACATATGTCTGCACAAAGATGCGTAATTCTGTTGTCACTTGAGATCTGTATACACTCCATCAACATACACGTACCCATGTTGCGTCATACTTCGGACTGCACTGCACCATGCTCCAGTAAACCGTACACACCACAGCTCATTGTGTTAAACATGCATATACGTACATGTGCCCAAGCGCCTCTAGTCTGAATGCATGCAATTCTCTTGTGCTTAACCGGGTAAATCATTTAGGCAGAGATGGACCACTATTAATTCAGAGATCTCCGCACGACCAGTCGACGCGGCCGTGTCTGAATATATACTATACGGCCATAGATAACATGAAGGCTGCGGAAAGACCCCTGCTGGGCACCGCGCTGTGCAGCGTGCACGCCGTCAGAGGTCAGCTTTGACACCTGGCTGACTTGATCCCCTGATCTGCGCAGAATCCTAGACCCATTAGCAACGAAGGATTTGTCCGGCATTTTGGAGTCTACTCGTAATGTCCTTCAGTTCGGCAGCACTGCCAAGCCACAGGATGACCTCGTCCCCTTCTCCGGTTTAGCAAGTAGAGGAATTATACAGTCTACAAATCGCATTCAAGGTTAAGGGTTTCGGGTGCAGATTCAAAAGGCTGGGCATCCCCTGTGCCCGGCTTTGGGGCTTCGGGTCCAGAATTCCAGTTCTTGCGTGTCAACTTTGAAGCTTCGGTTTGGGGTGAAAGTTCATTCAAGGGCTTGCGGCTTCAGTCGAAGATGATGGCAAAATGGGCTGTAGGTGTGTTGCTCGGGTAACCCTAAACCACTACTTGAATCTGTCACGTGGCTTGGGAAGTCAGGGCAGAAGCAACTGCAGCATGGACAAAGCGATGCTCAGTGCATTGAACAAGCGTTTAGGATGTAGATCAACGGTGCAGCCGATATATTAGACCATAGTTCATCTCCAGTGTTCCTGTATTCCCCCTTGGGCAAAAATCCTAAACCGTGCGATGCGCCATAAACCCCGCCCAGTAGTCTGCACACCATGGCTGGCTTTTCCCTTAGCTCTGACAGCCCTCAAACCGTCAGCTTATAAATCCTGAGCCCTGAACCCCTAGCAGAATTATGTTACTCATATCGGTCATAGGAAAACACAAATAAGCGATCCGCCCACTTCGCCTCTGCGGTAGGTGCAGATCGGATCACAGTCGTCTGGATGGGGCTTCCTGTGGCAGGATGTTGGAGCTTTTTGTATATGGGTTTAGGCTTATGGTTGATATATAGGGTTCTGGATTCAGCGGACCAGCTGTCTAAAGTAAACCCCATAAAGTTTGAAACCGGATTTATGACAATTAATGCTGGGGTTCCCTATACATTACTATTATCAAGGATTGAGGCTATTAGGTTTCCAACTTGTGGGCTTCTACTGTATGTTGCAACAGATACGGTGGCAAAATTGGGGAAAGTGAAGTTTCCGATTCCCGATTCCTGCGCTCCAGTTGCTACTCCGAACCATCAAACTACCCTGTCCTCTAACCAGAGCCAATCTGCAAAGCTGTGGCACTAAACCGCTTGCAAGCCCCGAATCCAAACTTAACACTGAAGTTTGGGGCTGAGGCTGTGAAATTCCGCTGAAACAAAGCTCTTGTTTCGTAGGGTTTAGGCTTCATTGTTCAGAGCCTACAACCACTTCGGCCTGCCCCAGGCGTGCTGACGCCCGTCGCCCAGGAGGGTGGAGGGACCGGCACCGACTGTGCCTGAGCTCTAGGTCCCCGAAACGCGCTCCTTTTCTTCGGGATCTTGCAGCCCGTACTGCCAGCAGGTATTTCGCACCTCACGAAGAGCCGTTCAAAGATGTATGAGGGTTGCTGTAAGGCCACAAGCTCCAGAGTGGAACGCAAAACCCTGCACCCTAAACCCAAGAAATGCTTGGAGCCCTGATTCCTGCCTCCCTGACATCAGAACACGATTCCCATCTGCATACCAACACGACCCGGGGTTTTCCCTTAACCCTCTTCATCCACGGGGCAACCAGCGAGCCTCCGCCGCCCGCGCCTAGCCTCGAGCTCCTCTGTCGTGAGAGCATGGGGCAATGGCTGCTTGAGTCACAAAATGTAACACGCTAGCTGCACGGTTTAGGCATGATGGTATAGGGCTTGAGAGGGTTGGTGTCGTTAAGTGTTTGCGAAACTTCAATGCTTCGTAGTTCGCAGTTTGACCAAGAGTGGGCTGCTACTGTCTTCGCCTTCTTTGTGTTGGGACGGCTTCGGCGATTGATGTGCTTCTTCTTTGCAGTTTTCACTGTACCGATCCTGTACAGGTCTCAAAGCCATTACGTCGACGGTCATGAGGATAACGCTTGCAACAGTGTGATCTATTTCGGATTTCTCATCTGGATTGCAGAAGGTTTCAGAAAAGGCGAAGGGCTGAGGCTGGAGCTCAGTTCAGGCGTACTTTGCATGCCGATGATCATCAACGGAGTGCTGTGGAACAGCTGCTAGGGCTGCTAGGGATAGTCATAGCAGTCATGGCGGTAATCTTGAGAGCGGTGCAATGCTGACAGCAAAGAAGCACGGGTTTGTGGTTTAAGATCCGTGCAGGCGTACTTGTGGCTCGCTCACCTTCGTCGGCCTTAGTCTCTGGGCCTTGGGCCTCTCCTTATACTAAACCTGACCAAGCCTGACCCCGAATATGGGCCTTACTTACTCAAACCATCCACAGACCTGAAACACGAAACCGAAACTCAGCCCTGAAGCATCTATAGGTGTGACGACTGTGATATATTCTAAGGACTATAAGGGACCACTCCTACTAGCTATTCCGACACCTGTATGGCTATGAACACCAGCCAAAACATGGCCAATCGCGACTCCGAAGGCCCCCTCCGCCTGCCGTCGTAAGCAGGAGTATGGACCGATGCATAGCCTTCCGACTGATTCTGGTCTTCGGTTTGGGGCTTTAGGATTTGGAGGGTTTAGGGTTTCGGGCATTGGAGTGTAGATGTTTAGGGTTCGGCCTAGGGGGCATAGGCTTAGGAACAGATTGATAGGGTCGGGTTCGTATCGCAACGAAGGCGTAGGTTCCCTATCATCTAGTGTTTCCTTTCTGTCGTATGGAAAATCAAGTGAGCACACACATACCCTAAGCCCGAAGACCTTATTAAATGTAAACAAACCGACGAAGATCTCGGCCACAAGGGCATCCCACTCTCCAGTCCGGCAAAATCGGGTTTACGACCTGCCGGCAGTCCAGGACACATTCCTCATTCTGATTCCGAAACGGCAGGAATTGTGGGATACGCGTGGGGTTACCAGCTTTCACGACCAACGAGAATAGTCATGCACGAAGGTCAAACTGAGGTCCGAAACTCCATGTTCCCAGCCTCCAGAGGAAGTCGATGCGCCGTCGTGTGGCAGAGCACATCTGAGCGCTGCAATCCGGAGGTAGCACACATCTATGTGATTGAGCGTGCAGATATCACACTATTCGGACTGTCTTTTCGATACGCAGCATGACTCACTACATACATGCATACATACATACATACATACATACATACATACATACATACATACATACAACATACGCCGCATACAGAATACAACACACGTACGTACATCACATACGTACGTACATACATACAGACAGACAGACATACAGACATACATACAGACATAAATACATACATACTTACATACATTACATTACATTGCATTGCATTACATTACATTACATTACATTACATTACATTACATTACATTACATTACATTGCATTAGATTCATTAGATTACATTACATTACATTACATTTAC